CAGCCCCGGGTGTCCCCGGGCACCCAGTCCCTGCTGATCCCCGTCGGCGGTGGAGACGTCGAGCCGTCAGGAGTCACGCCTGCCATCGTCACGTCGTCTCCTCAGTTTGCAGCAGTGCCTCACACGTTCGTCACCACCGCCGTCCCCAAGAGCGAGAACTTCAGCGCGGAGCCCCTCACCACCCAGCCTGCCTACCAGGCCACCATGGTGCAGGCGCAGATCCACCTGCCTGTGGTGCAGTCCATTGCCTCCCCCGCTGCCGCACCTCCCACGCTGCCCCCTTACTTCATGAAGGGGTCGATCATTCAGCTGGCCAACGGGGAGCTGAAGAAAGTAGAGGACTTGAAAACAGAAGACTTCATACAGAGTGCGGAGATTAGCAACGACCTGAAAATAGACTCCAGCACTGTGGAGAGGATTGAAGACAGCCATAGCCCAGGCATTGCCGTGATACAGTTTGCGGTTGGGGAGCATCGAGCACAGGTAATGGCAACACGTGGTGGGGTCAGGGGGTTGGAGCGGGGGCATGCTGTGGCCTCCCAGGTGCAGCTTTCCTCGGCACATTTCATTTGCTTTGGATCCACTTGGGGTTGGTTCTTCATCATTCACATCCATCCATGAGACAAACTCTGGACCAAAAATCATTCCCCTCACCATGCTGGTGGAGCCGTCACAGTCACACCGATGATAAATGTAGTCTCTTGGATATAAAATGTGTCCTTTTTATAGCTAGAGAACCCACAGGAAGACTTACATGATTTTCACGGGTTTTGATTAAAACACAAAACGGTGTAAGCAGTATGAGAGGTTACATTTTTCATTTTGATTGGTGATTTTTACCATCCACACCAGAAAGCTCAGGTTAGATTCAGCTCAAAACCTGTCCTAGAGAGATAGGTAGGTCACAATGCAGTGAATTTCTGAATTGGAGCTGCCTGGGAGTGGCTCTCATGCACATAAGATAATGAAATGCACTACGGAGTTTTACTGAGGCTTCAGTTGCAGGTGGTTTAAACACTGCACGTCACATAAACTGTGTGATCAAGGGAAATTCAGAAAGAAAAACCACCTAGATGTCTGGGCAGGCTGTGCTTCTGACTTTTGTTTCTCAGTTTGCAATGCAGGAAGAAAACCTGTAACTTTCCAGAGGTATTTTTAGGGTGAGAATGAGTACATATTGATCTTAAAGCATTATCCCAATGCTGAGTGATTTACATTCTGTTGGTTGAGGCTGGAAAACTCAGATACCCCGTGTAGCAATTTGCTTCCTAGAGGCTCTCAGTTTAAATAATCCTGTTGCAAATCTTTCTGGTTTGGTTTGAGTGCTGTGAACTGCAGCGTCTGCACCACCGATGCTGCACCCTCAGCACTGGAGAACCAGAATGAGAGGGAGGGAGAGAGGACCTCAGGCTGACAGTTTGGAGGAGAAAAACAAACAGCAGTGGTACCGAGGAGCAGATTACACAGAAAATTTCTTACAGTCTCAGCAGTCTGTGGCCCGTCCTTGTCCAGCTGCATATACGTGGTAAATCACTATATATGGCACATGCCCTTTCTTATGTCAAATGTGCAGATTCCCTGTGTGGGTTTATTCATGTATGTGCCTGCATCTGCACAGCTGATAGAAGTTGGGCCTCTGGTGCTTTCAGTATAATGACTTGATTCTTTTATCCCCACTGCTCAACTGTATTTTGGTGCATCTCCGGTTTCATGATTAGGGGAACTGTCCTTGGATCAGGACCAGTTACTATAATTTGCCCTGGTGCCTTGAATAATGAGACTTCAAGAGTAGCGATCTCCATTCTGTAATTTTCATCTTGCTCACATTTCTCTCCCTGCAGCCAGGCCACCAGTCTCTGCACCAGCAGAAGAGGTACAAATTAGCAGGTAGCATTTGTGTCATGTCTCGTTCGCAGATCTGTCAGCGCAGGCGATGTGCTGTAGTCCTGGGCGCCGGGAAGCGCTGCGCCTTTGCAGGGGGTGGAGTGCCATCCTCTGGCAGAAAGCGAGTCTGAGGCTGTACAAATCCAGGGCCTGGCACACAGGTCTCACCCAGCAAAGTGTCACCTTACGGAGAAGCCTATCAGGAGCAGGCTGACATCATCGCAGTCAAAATACTCCCCAGCTGTGTTTCCCACCGGGGATGCTTCCAGAATGGAGGGCAAGTCACATAGAGATATGATTAGAAACAGGGGTTTAATTTAGGTTTCCTGCAGTTTCCAGGACTTGGGTCTCTTCCCAGATCAGCTGTGTCCCTGCATAGCAGGGACAGCTCTGCTGTTTTTCCCTCGCTTGAGTTGAGAGAGAGAGAGAGAGAGAGAGAGAGAGGGATGGTTTCTATGTGCTTGAAGTCCCTGCGACCTCACCTCAGCCTGCCGTGGCTCTGTGAAAGCATTCAGCCTTATTTACAGGTGTGCAGCAGCCATTACTTGTTAGAAAATTGCCTGCATGAAGAGGACTTAGTCTACTTGATGAAAGAAGAGGATTTAGTTGCGCTGCTCTGAGCAGTGGCACTGTGGTGTTGCATCACTGAAATCTATAGCTTGACTCCGGAGTGCAGGGGGCATATATCTGCGTGCGTAGTGTAGCTTCACAAAGTATTTTATTACAATTAAGTTTCAGTTGCATACATGCTTCTGAAAGGAAGGAGCTTTTCGAGTGGTATTATCAAGGAAGTATTAGTTGTAAAGAGTAAGTGCCATACAAAAATAGCGTTGTTATCATTAGCTTTGGCTCACTTACTCCTCCCAGGGATCTCTGGGAAGTCATTATAATATTGATGAATCTGTATTTTCAGACTCTGTGCAAACATTAGCTAATTTTCTCACCAATTGAGGGACAGAGGTAGGAGGTTATTTTCAGCTGAGCATATGCAACTGTAATGTAAACAGGGAGGCACCATGCAGCTGCTATTGTATTGCATCACTGCAAGACCACAGCTGCCTCTCCCCAGCACGGCACTTAAGCAGAAAGAGATCATCCTCCCTCCTTTCCCAGTCCTCCAGTCACCTGGCAAATCCTACCCTCCTCCAGGTATGGAAATCGAGAGGAAAATTAACCCACCAAAGTCCTTAATAACTGAAATAACTGGCCTTAGCCCTGGTGGGATGCTAGGTTTCCATTTCACAGCATCCCTGCTCTGGATTAGGAAGAAGTCAAGTAAGTAGCAACTGGACCAGAAAACAAAGTCCAGCTGTTACTCCGCTGCATTCAAGTTGCCTAAAGCAGAAGACCTGTGGGGCTATATCTCTTTGCAATTCCATGTATTATTCTTGTCATAAGACTTTTGTCATTATTACAGGTCCTTTCTTTTGCTGCCAGGAACAAATGTAAGCCAGTAATTCACCTCCATTGATGTTAAGGTCAAAGCACATGGGCGATGCAAGATAAGTTCTCTGCAATGCTCCATTTCAGTTCCTAATAATTCCTGAAGTATAGCTTAAAAAAAACCCAAACAGAATCATAACCAGTAGAGATGGAAAAGTCCCATTAGAGGATCTAGTTAGTAGCCTTAACTAGTTTAGTTTGTATTTTAGTTTTCCCCTTTTGTGCCCACGTGCACACAAACCAGTTGCTTTTTCTTTGAGCTCTCCTTTTTATTATCTTTGGCACCATAACAGACACAGAAAGAGAGATACTGACTCAGTTCACTGCTGCAGATGGAGATCTGTCCCAGCCTTCTCCTCATGTGATCTCTGTGTCCCCTGGTCATGGGACTTACTATGTGTCTCCAAGTGATGGGGTGGCTGTGGTCTGTCCTCAGATACATGTAATTGAATTCTGGGAGTGCAGCAGATGATAAAGCTCATGTGATAAGGTCGGCAGCCTGTGGTCTGCTGTACAAGAGGTGGCTGCTTTTGAGAAGTGGTGGGATTGCATAACTGTGGAGAGCAGTAGCCCCTAACATTCAAGCCCTGGGTGCCTTCATTATAGTGACAATGTACTGAAGCTGGGCTAGATGCAGCCCTAAGGGGATGCAGACTCACACCATGTGTCACAGCAAGTGGTTCCTACTGCTGCCCCATAAGTCTCTCAAAGGAAAACCGCTAAAGACAGTGGTTTTTGGGGTGGAGGGAACATTGGACTCCCTAAAGTTTCTGGGTAGAGTAGGTCATGTGGGAGCATGGCACTGTAGAGACTTCTTTCTGTGAGAAAGAGAGCTTCTATCCCTTGAATCTGCCCAGCGTCTTTTGGGGCCCGAGGAGTCTTTCAGCACTCGCAACAAGGCCTTCAGTGGAGAGCTCTGCCACTTAATTGCACCTTGTTTCCAGAGGGAACATTGGACTCCCTAAAGTTTCTGGGTAGAGTAGGTCATGTGGGAGCATGGCACTGTAGAGACTTCTTTCTGTGAGAAAGAGAGCTTCTATCCCTTGAATCTGCCCAGCGTCTTTTGGGGCCCGAGGAGTCTTTCAGCACTCGCAACAAGGCCTTCAGTGGAGAGCTCTGCCACTTAATTGCACCTTGTTTCCAGAACTGCTTCCTTCTCTTTGTTTCCAGCCTGCCACTCCTAGTTTCATCACATTTTAATAATATCATGGAGAAAAACATGTAATTGGAAAATGTATGTTTGCATTTATTAAAATGTGGTTCACACGAACCACTTTCATTCGGCACCTTTTGCTTTAGTGCCTGTTATTTTGGTTGCAGCAGCCAGGCCCAAGACTGAAGTTGTTGTGTCTCTAAATGATGTGAAGGGTAATTTTCTGGGCCTCAGATCTTCCAGCACCTACCATCCATATTCTGGCTCCAGTCAGGCTTTCTTAAATTCTCTGAATTGCCTGCCTTGCCTACTGAATTTGTCTGAGAAATAAAATTATAAAGGGTTATATAAAGTTGCAGATATTCAGAGACTGCATTGAAGAGTTTTGGCTGTTTTCACTAGTCAGTCTTAAAAAATAGAAATATCAATGTGGCTTGCAGTAGACTTTCAGTGTGCTTCAAGAGGGACCAACATGTTCGTTTCTTGCTTTATCATCTTAGTAGTGTGTAAGTGTTCCAGGTCTGGGAAGTTCCAAAGTGGGCAAGTTCCAATTTTCTTTCTCTCCTACAATAATCATGGTAAGATACTGGGGCAAGAAGCTTTTAACATTAATTTTTTGTGTTTTAATGCAGTGGTTAGAAAAAAATTATGTGGGGGTGTTTTTACTGGACTTTCACACTTAGAAGGTCTTTGACCACTGTTGGTTGTAGAGAAGGGTTAACTCAAATCCCTCATTAGCTGAACCCAGAAGCAGCCTACTAAAACAGGACTTGACAATCCTTGAGGGAACCTATTTCAAATGAATAGTGGTACATGCACACCATGGAGATTCTGGCATTTCACCATCTTTCTTTTCTGGTGTTATTTGTGATCACCACTACCGATTCTGTCATTTGTTTCAGTGACTGACAGTGTTCTGGATGCTACATTTTAAAAAAAAAAAGGATAATGTGTAGTGGAAGTGTGTTCACATCAAGAGGAACTTGTGTGTTGGTGAGGATGATGCACGCAAGCATGTATGATTCCCACAGATACAAATAGCTTTTGACAATGATGGGAAAGTAGAAAAGAACAGAAAAAACAATACAGCGGGCAGGAAGGAATAAAGAAGGAGGAGAAAAATAGCGATATAAAGGAGAAAGCTGTGTCCACCAGATGATCCATGCCTGGAGAAAAGCCTACAGCTCTTGTGCAGACAGCATTTTCATTTAACTCCATGGGAGATGCTGGATACTCACTACTTCTCCCAGTTAGACCCCAGTTAGACTAAGAGGCATATATATGGAATAGGATCCCAAATTCTGGGCAAATATTTCTGCAAATCCTGATGCTGGAGTGTTTCTATCGAGCATTAAGAAGGGATGAAGCTTTCACAGTTGCCTAGCCCCACTTTCTCCATAGCTCTGAACTTAAACCAGGCCTTGAATCAGGTACCTTCCCACTGTTGCCATGTGTGTAGTTGGGTGCTGGCAAACAGTTCTGGTCGGAAAAGGTTTAATATGACAAAAATTGATGTAGTGGAGGGTATCTTACATCTCTAAACTGCTCCTTTTTCCTTCTACAGTGGCTTACTATGCAAGGCAGGTGGAGTGACAGGATAATAGATGCAGTATTATTCGTTGACCTAGTTGCAGAAGTGCATAGCATATATTTATAGACTCAATAAGGTTTTTTTCCAACATAACCAACCATCTCATAAACTGCAGTTGGCTGCTAGTGCGTGGCATGGGCTTAACCAGTCAGAGGCAGTCAGCACCCGATGGGAGTCATTGGTTTCCTGGTTCTGGAGCCTCTGCCTCTGAGCTGTAGAGCATCCCTGATCAAGTCTTTCTGCCCAAAAGGGCTGTGGATCCAGTGGGGTGTGAGGGGCACTACCTTGGGCCCTGCTTGCAGGAAGGGCACCTCTGAGGGTAGCAGTACTAGCCAGGGAGTGGCAGGGCTGCTGAGTGCTGTACTGTCATAGAATCCAACCCCTTCTGTGAGACAGGCCATGCAACTTCATCCCAAAGTTCACACTTAATGTTATGAACAAATACATTAGAACACTTGGAGTGCAGTGCACATCTCAAACGACTTCTATTCCTTAATGTTCCAATGTATTTTTAATGATACAAAGCCACGCTGGGTATGACAGCATTACTTGTTCCCAAAGGTGAGAGGTGGTTTTGCAAGCCTGCTGTGATGTTCCTTTCAAGTGAGCTCGTGTTCCTGGAGGGGGAAGGCTCTCCAGGCATCTGGTATACTCCATGCCTGCTAAATGGCTCAGAAATGAGGTGAGCACATGTATTCAGGTGTTCTCCTGCCCTTTTGCCCCTTCCAAATGAGGGTTACACCAGCAGAGCAGGATCCGGCCCCCATGCCTGAAAAGAGCTCCAGAGGACACAAGGAACTTGGGAGCAGAGCAGTGGATATCTGTCTTCAGCATAAACCACCCTCTTACAGTTACAGACCTCACTGATGTTACACACAACAGTTAAAAATGTGCCAGATTTTTAAGAAGTGTTGGTCAGAATTTCCTTCCCTCTTTGTGGTGTGCTGAGGGAGGAGGTGGTCAGCCCCATGGGTTGTGAATCACATGAGCCCACATCAAGTGTTTGATGCAGCACCACACAGTAAGTGCTGGACTGCTGCCACATGCATAGATAAGTGGGTATTCAAGTGTTTTATCATTTTGGGACCTCAAGGCCCAGCATTTGCAAGGTCAAGGAGCAGTGGGCACCTGTTGTTGATCTGTTCTGGCTATGGCAGCTCTCTGTAAGGTGGTTGGATAGGATTCCTAACTGGATGCGTTTTTAAAGTGGAGTGAAGCTGAGGGAAAACGGGACACTGCAGAAAAGGAGACACAGAGCAGGAACTGCAGGAGGAGGGGAGATGGTCCTCTCTCTGAGGGAGTGTGGGAGGTGAACTCAGCTGCAGACTAGGAGACCAGGTGTGAGAAAGGAAGAAACTGGGCTGGTAAGAGGACTGCTGGGGGAAGGCAGGTTCATGCTCACTGCTCTTACAGCTGCAACTCTGTACTCATGGCCTTTCCCTGGAAATCAGCGTGCCTTCAACTGTTTCACACTGGTCAGTGCGTACTAATTTGGGCCAAGGTGAGGATGACATTCCTGTGATCATGTAGGAAATTGTGTGTCAGAACTGAGATCTTCCCTTCAGCCATCTTCTGGTTGGAAAGGGTCTTTAGATTTGGATTGCAGGTTCTAGGTACCACAAGGGGATGGTGTGCAACACTTTGCCAGACACCAAAGCCTCTTACACCTCTCTGAGTGCTTGGATAAAGGTAAAGTTTGATTCTGGCTGAAGTGTTGTGCTAAGAAATGCTGAGCTCAGAGAAACTATTAACACCCACGTGACAAGGACGGGCAGGAATTCTGTTGGCCGATGCACTGATTTTGCAGAAACTGCACAGCACCTTTGCAATTTCAGCTTTATCCCTCTCCCTTGTGGCAAGCTCTGCCTGTCGTGCACATATGTGAGGGCACATGGGTGATCTCATGCTCTCCCCTCTCTCTCTGTCTCCCTCTGTTGTCCCCTCTCTTTCTGCAGGTCAGCGTGGAAGTCTTGGTAGAATACCCTTTTTTTGTATTTGGACAAGGCTGGTCATCCTGCTGCCCCGAGAGAACCAGCCAGCTCTTTGATTTGCCATGCTCCAAACTCTCAGTGGGGGACGTCTGCATATCGCTCACGCTCAAGAACCTGAAGAACGGCTCTATTAAAAAGGGCCAGCCCATGGACTCAGCTAGTATCTTGCTGAAGCATTCAAAGAATGACAGTCTAGCTGGAAGTAGACACAGGTATGCGGAGCAGGAAAACGGGATTAATCAGGGAAGCGCACAGATGTTAGCTGAGAACGGTGAACTGAAGTTTCCGGACAAAATAGGATTGCCTGCAGCACCTTTGCTCACCAAAACAGAACCCAGCAAGCCCCCGGCAACGAGGAAGAGGAGGTGGTCAGCTCCCGAAACACGAAAACTAGAGAAATCAGAAGAGGAGCCACCTTTGACTCTTCCTAAGCCTTCTTTTATTCCTCAGGAGGTTAAGATTTGCATTGAAGGTCGATCCAACGTAGGAAAGTAAAAGTTGTTTGGGGAAAGGAAATTAGGCTATCCCTTGTCATTTTTATCCAGATTACTGTACTGTAGACTAAATAACCCAGTATTTACATGTTATCATCTTATTTTAGGTTTATGTTATAACCTTGTTGTTATAGTTGCAGCTGGTATTATGCAGGAGACTGGTGCATATGTTTTTCCACAAGTGTTTGTCAGTGACTAGGTTTATCGAGAGCTACAGAAGGGGCAGTATCTGCTTCACACACCCTTAGTGGAAATGAATGTGTTGTCATGGCTCCTGTTTTCTAACACCTCGTGTAGGACAGGGTCCAGCTGTGATTTTGTTTTCTTTTGTCGCTGTTTTTTTTTGGTTGGTTTTTTTTGGGTTTTTTTTTGTTGTTTTGGTTCCTGTTCTAGTTTTTGGGGGGAGGTGAGGAGAAGGGAACTGTAGCAGAGGTGTATGTCATGCATGGGGTGTGCGTGTGTGCACGTGTGTGCGTGTGTGTGGGTGCATGCCAACCCCGAGGCGGGACGGCCGCTCTGTGCAGGGTTGGTGAAGAGACTTCCTCACCCCAGGTGGATGCTGAGGACACAACCCATGGATGTTACTGAGAAGGATCGGACAGTCTCTGATGTC